AAACAGAAAATTTTCGTGGGCACATTTCGGTGCAAATAGTTTTTCTGATTCGTGTGTGAAACAAAACACTGGTCTTGTTCATTGTCTTCTTAATTACTTTAACTTAAACTTTATTAACTATAGAAAACACTACGGTAAATGCTTTTTTGGCTGTATTCACTGTAGGTTTTTCGCTATTTTCATCGTATTTTCTATTGCGGTTTCCTTCCCCAATGCGTCTTCGCTGTTTTTAGCGCTTTTTCGTATGTGACTGAAAACCATCCTGATTTGATCTTTTTCGATGTTCTTTTACATCAATTGTTAAGTTAATGTTTAATTCGTCCATGAAGAACACATGATAATTTAATCATTTCAACTTTTTACTAATTTTGAAGGCATTCTTCTCGTCGGGAACTAAACATTTCTCGCTCGCATGGAAGTCACTACAACTCTGAGCAGCAATAAGGGATCTCATGTTAAAAATAGCTCAGGCTTGCGCGCGCAGCTAAAAATAGATTTTCAAGAAACTTTCATGGTTACAGACCCATGTATGGGAGATGTGCTCTCTTACTTCATATTCTCTTGTGGTGTACTAAACGATAAAAAGTTCTGCAGTTTTTGTATAAAAATATAGTCAAATTCCCCGAGGACAAGAAATTAAATGTATTGTTTTGGTGAAATGGCCGCTGTGACGTCCATGAAAACGTTCTATAGAATATAATTTTTTTAAACTGTCGYGCATGAGAAGACACATGAATATGGATACAATGGCACGTGGTCTGAAATGGGGGAAAATATTACGGTCAAACTATAAGCTAAGAAATCGATTTACTAGTGTAACCTTGTGACAAAAATGAAGTCTTCATATTTGAATTCGTTTTTGAGACCTGCTTTGTCTTGCCTTTTTTGACCTTTTTGCGCGTTTTTAGACAATTGTCTGTTTTCTTCAATGTTTGCTTTTTAGCGATCAGGATTTTCAGAATCCCAAATCATCTAGGAATAGCAACAAACTTTAGAGCTGTTAAGTGTGACGTAATTCGAACAAAAAAATTACTTTCGGGTCCAAATCAACAATTACTTCTTCAGACATTTCCCTGATTTTTGGAGAAATCCTGGGAATAAGTTGTGGCAAGATTTTACACTTCTTTTGTGCGATTGGACCCGGAAATACGTCACATCTTGAAAGCCCCATAGTTTATTCGTTTTATATATAGATCTCTTTATCTTGGGCGTAATTTATGGTTTCATAATCTCAGGCCACGTCGTTAATTCCCTTGAAAATATGATTTTAGATCTTCGTTTGAGTCGTGTATAAACATTCATGTGTCTACTCGAGTGCAACCGTTAAACAAACAAACTATACTCTAAGAGAATGACACGTGGTCTGAAGTGGTTACACATTATACGACCAAGGTAAAGACATCTACTGTTTGGAAAAAGCGGGAAACATCGCTAAACCTGTCTTGCATTACTGAAAGCTCATTAGATAGCATACGAAATATTGCTATCGATTGTTTTCTAAAGAGTCAGGAAGGAATTTTTAAAACCCCTAAAACTATATAAAAATACTTGTCAAAGTGTAATAGTGAAATAGACATTGTTATCATATCTCAAGGGATCTTGAGTCATATGGTTTCACACACTCTCTATTGTTTCGTCATTGCTATGAAATTATTGCTAATTACATAATTACACATTACTGCTTTCACAGATACAGTGTTTGCTCTTTGTAATATTAGCTACAAATAATTAAAGGCGATTTACAATAACTATTATGAATGTCGTGAATCTTTTACGTCCCTTTGATATACTTGTTGGTAATGATTAAGCACGGAGAAATGGAACTBCTACATTTCTTYTTTAAAATTCTCACTCAAGCTATAGGAGAGTTTGACTGAACATTTATAGGTGTTTTGTTTGAAAAATAACTCTAAAATATAACCATTATTCTAACTTACCTCCTTTCAGCTCAAGATTATATTCTCTGCAGATAGAAGTACTYACTTACCTAGCGCGCGTACATCAATGAATGACTGATTCACAACAGGTTACCCGAGTGAAATACATAGATTTTACTAGACATTTTAGGGTGGAATACGGGTGGATATTTTTCCAAGTCTGCTGTATTTTGTCGAGCTCGATAGGACGAGACAAAACACAAAGACGAAAAAAAAAGTCCACTCGCATTTCACCCTAAAAKGTCTAATAAGTAGTATTTATTATGCAACTCAGCTTACTTTTCCACACAAAAAGAAGGCTTCGAAATAGTTTTTAAAACACCGGGGTTTTATTACTGTACAAAATGAACTAGAGGATATTTGTACTCGAGGCTTTTTCCTGCGTTATTTGTACTCTAAYTTGAATAGCTGGATAATAAAAAAGAATATATCAGCCGGTATAGGATTAAAACAAGAACTTAGCCATTCACGAAAAGACACATCATATCCGACCAATTTAAGATAGCGGGTATCTCTAAAACAAAGATGTTACTTCAAGGAAATTCGAATCATCGAACAATAAAGATGTAACGTATGTTAATGTATGCTAATTTACATCACATGATTTGTACCTCTCGCGTGTGTGAGCTCTGTAGTAAAGAACAAGAACTACCCACTGAAACTGTGTTTTATTAGTCTTTATTCATTTACCCTGTACATAGTACATGACATGGTGTCAGAATGGAACATCACAAAAGCATCGAACCTCTCAACCTACAAGGTAATGTATCCGAAAACTGGCGACGTTGGATTCAACGATGGAACCTCTATGTCGCTGTAACTATAGTGGCGCCGACAAGAAACCCGAAGTCACACAATGTGCAATCTTTCTACATACTATCGGCCAAGATGCCATCGATGTATACAATACTTTTACCTTCACGTAAGAATAAGCCAACAAAACCGAACCCCTGATTCTAAAGTTCGAAGAGCACTGCGTCTGGAAAAAAATCTCACATATGAGAGATCTAAATTCAACACGTGTGATCAAGATGGTCGCCCCTTTGATGCCTTCCTCGTTGATCTTATCAAACAAATCGAAATTTAAAACGTGCGAGTTTGGCGAGCGGCAAAGATTCACTCATCAAAGATGGGATCGTTTGTGGAATCGATAACAATGAACTAAGAGAAGGACTTCTCAGAGAGATAAATGAAAATAAATGGATTTACAGGTTCAAAGTCGACACAGGCTATCAATGTAAAGTTATTCCACGAAGCAACCTGAATGAAATCGACAACTCGGTACAGATAACTCCAACATCAGTCAGATTAACCGCGTAAGGCAAGTGGAAATTAATCACGAGGAAAGTGAAATCAAAGCAGATTTCTTCGTTGTAGATATACCTGGCATCAAACAAGGATCAAAACAATCTTGACAGATATTCAGATGTGTTCACTGGTTTTGGTTTAGTCGATGGAGAATATCACATCGAGTTAAAGGAAGATGCAAAACCTGTAATTCACGCACCAAGAGAAGCTGATAGCCAAATGCACCACATGTAACACCTATAGGAATAAGAACACTAAAGAACCTCTGCTACCACACCCCATACCTGAACAACCATGGCAGAAGGTCGGCTGATATCTTCCAGCATCAAGGTAACTCGTACTTACTTGTTATTGACTATTACTCAAAGTATATTGAAACAAGTTTCATTAAAGACAAGACAGCAGCAACAATTATTACTCATATGAAATCCCTATTTGTTCGACATGGGATTCCTGAGGAACTTGTTTCTGACAATATGTCCTACAATAGTCTAGAGTTCAGGAACTTTGCTAAAGAATGGAAATTTAAGCTAACTACTTCTAGTCCAACATACCCACAATCCAATGGTCTAAGCAAAAGAGCAGTTCAAACCATGAAGAGAGTCTTAAAGAAGACAACAGACCCATATCTAGGTCTTCTGGAGTACAGGAACACAAACTGAAATGAATTATACACCCACACAGCTGTTGATGAGTCCGTAGCAAGAACAAATTCCAACTTCACCCGAGCTGCTGAAACTACGAATTGAAACAAATGCTCGTGAGCASGTAACGAAGTGTCAAGAGAAGCAGAAGTTCTTCTACGACAAACACAATAAAACACTTCAGATTCTCAATGATCGAGTACGTCTAGAAAAAGACCAGAAATGGATCCCTGCAAAGGTAGCAGCCAAACATCTACTCCTAGATCATATGTTGTAACCACACCCAACGGAAAAACGTACCGCAGACACAGACGACATCTCATAAAGACCACAGAGGAACCACCAAAGTTCACAGGACCTATTCCTGATGCACTTCAACCTGCAGTAGAACTTACGACTGAGAGCTTAATCCAGATGCTACCCACACCTCATGAAGATGTCAGCAATGGAGGTCAACCTGTACGTGCTTAGGAGATCAATAAGAACTAGGAAACAACCTCCATGGTTCAAGGATTATCGTATGTAATCTATAGACTGTAAGCAGTTATCATCTGTACATAAAATGCATATGAACCTGCCCTAACACCTGAACTATCATTGCTCGTTTATTTTAAATAGGTCAGGTGACCTGCTTGTCCAATCAAATATCCCCTGTATGAGTGATGGTAGTTCAGGTGTTAGGGCAGGTTCATATACAGTCCTTTGACTAAACGTTGTCGTTGAACAAATCATCCCTACGCGCCTAGACCGAAAAGGATAACGGGTAAATTAGCTAGAATTTGCGTCATCCAAACTGCCGTATGCTCGAGGCATGGTTTTAGCAAATAAAATGAGATCGAAAAAAGCGAGCTCAAGACGTGTTAGGTAATATATACGGCAGCTAGTATCTGTGAATTAATTATCCCCATGATCCTTTTCGGTCTAGGCGCGTAGGGATAAAGCCGATCAAATAACAACGTTTAGTCAAAGGACTGTATCTCTTACTAGAAACAATGAAAATATATCATTTGTGTTTATCAATATTTTTCTTCATTTGATTAGGCAACTTATTCAGTATTTATTATCTCTTCTAAGTTTCTTTTTCCTTTTATAATTATTCAATTATTACACATTACGCTTCAATTTATCTTTTAATGTTTACTTCAGTCTTTTATATCTTTTCCATGATGTATTGTCAACAGAGGTCTTTGGTTTTTCTTGATCTGTCTATGATCTTCAAGCGTTAATTCRTTCCTTGAATTAAAGAAATACAGTATTTAATACAAGATATCAGTATATATAGGATTCTAAAAGTCATTAATAATTCATGAGGAAAACTACCAATCAAGAACGCTGAAATGATCATGTGATGTCATCTGTGTATCCCAACGCACGTCAACAATCTAAATAAAAGTTGGGGGCGGCATTGAATATTTCCCAGGGCAGCGCGGGGCTGGTGTAATATTCACGTGCTGATTGCAGTACACTGATTGGCTGATTCAAACTTTTAATATTCATGAGTTCTTTAACTGATATTCCTGTGTTCTGTAACAGATATTCCTGTGTTCTGTAACAGATATTCCTGTGTTCTGTAACTGATTTTCCTGTGTTCTTTAACTGATATTCATGAGATGATATAGAATTCATGAATATCAGTTTCACAACTTATATGGATATCATTTACTACATTATTACGAATATTTGCTAGGATTTTGATTGACTTCCGAAATCGAGTCATCGAGACCTGTTTGCCAACGCACAATCAAGAAGAGTGAGATTTTACGAACTCTTTTATAAAAAATACACCGAAATATAGTTTACACGAGGGAGGCAATTATTCCAACTCGAAAAGAAACTCAACAATACAGTGATTTGTCTTACTTTCCTCAATTTAATCCTTGTAGTTTGCTTTGTTTGGAGCTATCACCTTTTCCAATATAGAATGTACATAATAGAGATCCCATTAGATAATACTCCTGGGGTTAGGGTTTAGGAGCCAATCCGCACACTCCACAGCACATTAGTGATATTGCAACGCCGGGTAGAGGAATTGAGCCGGTAAGCTCATGCATATTTTTCTGGTTATCTTTGTTTGTAAGTATCGCTTTTTCAACCCAAAAGAGTTTATTACAGCTCCTAATAACAAAGTCTTTTCAGGAATTGTTTGAAAATGGTCCCTGCGGGATTAGGTTTTAGAAGCCATTAACAGAATTCGTGTCCGTGCTGTATCGGCTCAACAAACGCTCGGCCTACGGCCTTGCGTTCGTAAACCCGATACAACACGGCCACTCAGTCTGTAAACTACACACATAAAACGCGTGTCTCTTTACTGTGATTTAAACACACTGGTAAGCTGAAGGGTACGAGAGAAGCAAGCCATAGGAACACGAGGCGTATCCGATCTTAATGTTTGAGTGCTCTACAGTTTTCAGAGTGTTTATATCACAGTACAGAGTAGCCGTTTTATATTGCTTTTCTAAAATGTTTTTGATGATTTTGCACGACTGTCTCTGTTCTCTTATATAAACACGGCAGCCAGCCAATCAGCGCTCGCTTCATATCCCATTAAGATCCAAATAATTAAGCAAAGTGAGCATGCATGATAAGCATATAGTAAAGACGATGACGCTGGTGACGAGGATGGTGGTGATCAGGATGATGATGATGAAGGTGACGAAGTTGACAAAGATAATCGTAAATTATGGTGCTGATATGATTACAATTATTGATGATAATGCTGATGATTAGGATGATGGTGAATATGATGATGATGATGACGGTGATGAGTGATGGTGATGGTGATGATGAAGATGAAGATAATGGTGATAATGATAATGATGATGCTGATGCTGATAATGACGATGATGATGACGGTGATGATGATCATGATGGTGATGATAATTATGATAATTATGATGATGATGATGATGATGATGATGACTGTGGTCATTAAACTATAAGAAAACGGCCAGACTAGAAGATAAATACCTTGACATCCATAAAGAATGTTAGCTTGATGAACATCCAGATCAGTCAGATCCTCAGCGTCACCCATTATGGGCTCCTTTCCATCGGGTCCTTTCTTTAAAGGTACAAACATCGGAAGAAGATTTCCGCTTTCGGTTCGCTTTGAGCCGCCGGCCCCATACCGAACGTAATGCATGAAGGTGTAATAATCGTAGGGCGAGTTTCTCGAATCAATATCTTGTTTTTTCCCAAAATTAGGCTCTATATATTCTTTGGAAAAGAAAAAAAGAAAACAACACTTACTTCTGAGGTTGGATATGCGGAGAGGAATAGTTATTTTCAGGGGGACGGGGGTATGATTTTTAATGATACTTATAGGGAAAGGAAGGGAGAAGGAAATAGGAAAAAAAGGCAGTGTATGTGCATTGGGAATTAAGGATAGCGTGGATGTGGTGCGATTCCCTCTCAAACCATAAATGTCGAATTTGATTTCTGGACTCGGCATTGCAGGTGAGTAACCTTAAGTTTTTTGGCGGTTTCTTTCTCGGCGTGCAAAATTAAGCATGAATTTACTTCTTTTGTCGTTTTCCGTATTGTCCCATTGTCGCGTCGAACCCTGAAACAATCTCTGGGCTGATCTACATGTCAGGAAATGGCTAACTAACAGATCGAGCCCTGAAACAACCTCTGGACTGAACTAAGTCAGAGCGAGACTAACTCAGAGATGGGGAGCCCCGAAACAACCTCTGGGCTGATCTATACGTCAGGGCATGGCAATCTCACAGATTGAACCCCGAAACAACCTCTGGGCTGATCTATACGTCAGGGCTTGGCTATCTCACAGATTGAACCCTGAAACAACCTCTGGGCTGATCTAAAACGGGGCACGACTAACTCACAGATAGAACCCTGAAGAAACCTCTGGGCTGATCTAAGTCAGGGCATGGCTAAATCACAGATTGAACCCTAAAACAACCTCTAGGCTGATCTATATGTTATAGGGCATGGCTAACTCACAGATTGAACCCTGAAACAACCTCTGGGTTGATCTATATGTCATGGTATGGCTATCTCACAGATAGAACCCTGAAACAACCTCTGGGCTGATCTAAGTCAGGGCATGGCTAACTCACAGATTGAGCCCTAAAACAAACTCTGGATTTTACAGTCCACAGGTCGTAATTCAAATATGTCACATGTTTTTGTTTTTAATTTGTTCCACACAATCGCGATTGGTTCTTCACATGCAGGTAATCCGACTTATATTGATATTTTTCGTTCCGGATTACCAAGTACATTAATTAAAGTAATTTAATTTAAATTAAACTATATAATAATGTAAATATTGCATTTATGTACAAATAAAGTCGTTGTTGTTCACATATGTGATGAAATCCTAAAATTAACACGCCGCGAAAATCTCGAGTAGCTTATTACTGACGTAATTACTTTATTAAGTAGAGAGATTGCAAATAAAATATTAATCGAATATCTTACTTTTTTCCATAATTATATTGTCATAGCAGACTTTCACATATTCATCTCTGTCCGGTCGTACATGTTCATGATAGAATCCAATTGTATGTCCAAATTCGTGTGCTATTTCATAATCAGAACACCAGAATGTGTCTGGTGTCCCCACCTTCACGAACTGTTCTCCTCCCTTGCGACCAACTGTTTCGGACTCGCAACTAAATAGAAAAATAAAACAAAAAGGTCTACTATATTTGATGCCAAGGTGACTAAATATGAGATGACTGACTACTTTTTTACTTTAAAAATCAATTTGAAGGAAAGCAAGGGTCGGGTGTCCTCACTTGCTCGTTTATCTAGATCTTGAAACTTTATCATTAATATCTTGGGTCAAAAAAAAAAGTGATTTACAATCTTTTAATTGTTTTATTATCATTAAGCTATAGTTACCTAAAGGAAGTGACCCTATGCCAACCCACTGCACCCCAATTCCCTCCCTCCCTCCCCTCCTTGCGGTGTGAAATTTTATCAAATGAATGTACGAGTAACAAGTAACAAGAAACAAGATTTTTAGCTATCTGCAACATATGATGTAAAATGGCAATTCCTTTAATTTGATTTTGCCATGACATATGTCTTGTTCTTATGACTCAAAAGCCATAAAACGAGTACAAGGAGACTATTTTGTCAATCTTATTCTAAAGCTCATTAATATATAAATTCGCCATAAAGGAAGCTTAGAAAAGTGATCTTAATTAGCATACAATTTAAAACTTTTGCCTCCTCCGCAGGCGTCTTTTTGCCTTTTTCTCTCTTCTCTCTCTTTTTCTATACTGGGCTTCCTGTGTTGGCTAAGAGTTTCTTTCTCTTAGTCGCTCGCCTTACTCTTCCTCGTTTTCACCAGGATACCCAGTCCCTCTCGAACCAGCAACGAAAACAAAACCAACAAAATTCTTAGCGAGTAGCCTGCGGAGGAGGCTAGGGAAACTTATGCTTTGAATTTCTGAAACAACTATTTATATATAGTTTGAGAAGCCATAGCAAGCACTTGAAAGAGTGCTTCAAAAATACTCGCTTCGCCTCGTTTTTTCAACTGACTTATAACTGTTCTGTTACGTAACTTGAATGAATAACCTTTATATACTTTCACAGGGTTGTCTATTCGTGTATTTAGAATACACTACTGTCCATATATAGGAGCTTTGTTTTTTTTTGTGCATTTGATACCCGGGTTTGCGAGAATAGTTTTGCTTTGGCATTCAAAGGGGACTCCTGTGTCGTGTACACGGACGGACGGACGTACTTGCGGACGGACGGACGGAGGTGACGTAGTAGTCAAGCTATCAAAACTCAAGTTGATGGGTTATCAATTTTTCTTAAGTATGGTGCTCCGCTTGAGGGGACCGGGAGCTCCGCTTTTATCATATGATAATTGATATAGTTTAGACTTACTTTTCTCCAAAGGTAACCATTATGAAATCTGTTTCATTCGTTCTCAACTTAAATCTCAAACAGGTTTTATTTTCCCACATTTCTATGCCTTTTTGCACAAGATCTCTAATGGTTTGATCTAAAAAGAGAAATAAAAAACGTTTAAATTGTTATGAAACTATATGCAGCTGTAATTACAATAACAATGAGAAAGTAATGAGTGATATCCATTCTTTCGTCTACCAGTCCTCTTACGTACCCTCTGTCATTCACCCACCTACCCATCGATCCATTCACCATTCATCTACATGTTCGTCCAATTGACCGTCCGTTCGTGCGTCCGTTAGTCCGTCCGATTGTCCGTCCGTTCGTCCGAACGTTCGTCCGTCCGTTAGTCCGTTTGTCCGTCCGTTCGTCCGTCCGTCCGATTGACCGTCCGACCATCCATGATTTGTTTTATAGGAAAACATACCCATAGTTTCGTTAAAGGTGTAAAAAACGGTCGCGTTAGGCCACAAAAGCGTGGCATTGTTGGTAATTCCTCTCTTGGGTAAAGCGTCTCCCTCGCCGCTTAACAACACAAGGTGTCGATCAGTGGAATTGATTTCTTCCTCTTTCTCCCCTAGGGAAAATAAATACAAATAGATATGACCACGTTTTCATCGTTTCCCTGTATATTTCACTCCAACGATTCGTTATGAATATTCTAGGTATTCTAGGCTGCTATACTCACATAGAATGGCTTGTGCACCCTTGGTGATTAGAAGAATCGCAAGAATAGTATAATACATTCTGTTCACCTGCTTGAAAAAGACGTCAATAATAACACCCAATTAGTCTTGTCTTTCATTAGACACTTTGACCTTTTTGGAAACACATTACGTCAGTTCATGGATAGACTGACCACGATTACACAAATGGTGATATTTTTTCAAAGCAAAATGTTGAAGATATAGAAAACGCGCGCGCGTGCTGTGTGCAGCTATAAAGAACGCGGGGGTTGGCAAAACACGATTGAAGTTTTAGGAAAAGCATGAGGCGTAGGGGAGTGCTTCTTGACTCGAGTGTTCTGTCAATCCCCAAGTGCTTTATAACGGCACACAGCACGCGCGCGCGTTTTCTATTTCTTTTTTAAAATAAAAATTACATATGACGAAACTGAAAGTACGCGAGCGTGCTGTGTGCTCTCATAAAACACGCGCTCCCAACCAATCAGATTGCGAGATTTAGAACAGCTATTTTTTCATTTATTTTCGAAAACGCTTCCAAGAGTGGAATTTTTAAAAACGCCGTTTTCATGTTGTGTATAGGCTCAGATTTCATTTGTCATTTCCTATAGAGCGTTTTCACTCACGTGACAAGGTAGGCATATTGGTGTACTAAACGATAAAAAGTTCTGCAGTTTTTGTATAAAAATATAGTCGAATTCCCCGAGGATAAAAGATTAAATGTTTTGTTTTGGTAACATGGCCGCTGTGACGTCCATGAGAAACATGAATATGCATACGAAGACACGTGGTCTGAAATGGGGGAAAAAAATTACAGTCTTGGTTGACGATAACAAAGCATTCCTCATTATAGCTTCTCTTGTTAGATCAACCAAGATGGCGGCTGTTTCATTGTTATTCTTATCTCAAGGGATTTTGAGTCACATGATTGGTTGCACACACTCCATTGTTTCATCATTGCTATGAAATCATTGCTAATTACATAATTACACAGCACTATTTTCATAGAAATAGTGTTTGCTATTTAGTCAGTCATATTAGCTACAAATAATTCAAAGGCGATTTACAATAACTATTGTGAATGTCGTGAATCTTTTACGTCCCTTTGATATACTTGTTGGTAATGATTAAGCACGGAGAAATGGAACTRCTACATTTCTTCTTTAAAATTCTCACTCAAGCTATAGGAGAGTTTGACTGACCATTTATAGGTGTTTTGTYCTAAAACTAGCTCCAAAAATATAACCATTATTCTAACTTACCTCCTTTCAGCTCAAGATTCTACTCTCTGCAGACAGAAGTACTCACTTACCTAGCGCGCGTACATCAATGAATGACTGATTCACAACAGGTTACCCGAGTGAAATACATAGATCTTATTAGACATTTTAGGGTGGAATACGGGTGGATATTTTTTTCAAGTCTGCTGTATTTTGTCGAGCTCGATAGGAAAAATTCAACATAATTGCTCTGGAATAAAAGAAAGGACACTTTTGGAATTTGAGGACTTAGCTTTCTCATAGCGAATTTGCCAGAAATCATGCTCCCTAAGGGCATGGAAGAATTTCGAGTAGGCGAACGATGTAAACGATGACATAGGCGCGCAGTGTATTGCGGTTGACTAGGATTCCTTACCATTATCTAAAAATAAGTTACTTTCAATAGCACTTTTGTTTTTATTTATATTTTTCATTCGTTTTAGTTACTTTGGGTGTTTTCCATTTAATCAGTATATATTGCTCTATTTGTTCTTTGCTTCAAGTGCAATAGCATGCATGCATTYTTAATGTACTGTCAACGGTCTTGGACGACTTCCATCTAAACCACCTACTAGTGTTATTTACAGGTCGGTCACCTGATGATGTGACGTGTCTAGTATAGGCACTGTGTAGGCAAAGAAAGTCAATACATTCATGCATTATCCAGGTGGTCAGATTCGATCTATAATCTGATTTTCTTAGTTCATTTCCTTCCTTCCTTCCATTCTTCCTTCCTTCCTTCCTTCGTTAGTTCGTTCCTTAGTTCATTCATTTTAGCGAAAGTAAAATCATTCAGAATTTCATCTTTTCTGTGATATTCAAAATTATACTAGAGCAATCATTCACCTCAGGATCAGTGATGTAATATGGAAAAGACTTTCTGGTATCGTGGGATAAAATTTAAAGCAGAATCGACTTTTTTTGAATACAAATTGCCGTAACAGAATAGGCCCACGTTTCGTTTGTTGAAAAATTTTTTTCCCCTGTTGTGACCATTCATGAGTGCGGACGTATTCGATGATACGATACGATAGGATACGATAGGATACTATAGGATACGATACGATACGATACAACTTATACAGTACGATCATACGATAGATACGATACGATGCGTTACGATAAAATATACTATGTAAGAAATAATATTATTATATAATTACCAATGAAATATCTATTTTTCTCTATTTCGAAAAATTGATATCTTCACACGTGAAAATAATATGTTATTTTAACTTTCGCTAAAATGAATGAACTAAGGAACGAACTAACGAAGGAAGGAAGGAAGGAAGAAAGGAAGGAAATGAACTAAGAAAATCAGATTATAGATCGAATCTGACCACCTAGATAATGCATGTATTTATTACGTGTGAAAATAACACCATTGCGATGACTATTCAAAAATACACGGAAAGAATTGCCTGAAAAAGCTAAAACATACTTCATTGATAATTATATAATAAACAGAATATTACATGGCCGCTTGGAGATACAAAATTTATCTTCTCGTGTTGAAAATATCTCACTCGTTCGCTACGCTCAGTCGTGAGAGATCTTTTCAACACTGGAAGATAAATTTCGTATTTCCGAGCGCCCATGTAATATCCTCTATGTATAATATAGAATAAATACCACATGTTAAGGGTGCGAAATATAATATAGCGACAATTGTTAAATACTGATAATTAGTTATTTTATTAACACTTTATTAATAGGCCTTTCAGTTACAGTTCATAGATTTGCTACATGCAGTTGGAGCGCATGAGATCTTCGCGGCAGATGCTCAACCGAGGACATGCGCGGACAAAATAGATTAAGTGATTTAAACTTTATAGAGGAAAGAGTGGAGGCAAGAGATTTAGAATTCATCGGAGACGAAGGAACAGAGAGCTGTTTAAAATATCTGAAATATAAGGTCATTATAAAGTTTGGTAGCCGGCATCATAGGTCACATGATCAATGTTCGCTTCCCAGAGTTACTGCAAGGGTATTGCAGCAGCCTTAAGTTGTAAAAAGTTGCCTTCATCCTCGGGAACCTAGGGGTGAAGTTCTAGGGGCGACAGAATTTTACAGCGACAGAATTTTACAGCGACAGAATTTTACAGCGACAGAATTTTACAGCGACAGAATTTTACAGCGACAGAATTTTACAGCGACAGAATTTTGAAAAGAAAAGGGCGAACAAATCACAATCAAAATTGTTCTCAAATGCCGCCAAACGTCTTTGATGTTCCGATAGCCAATAAATATTCTTGTGTTTAGAAGGTACTAATTACTGTTTCCAGTAGTTACGGATGGAACATCAATAACTCCAAATAACAGTTTTTTTGAGAAAGTATTGGAATATAGTCGGAGCAAAGAGGGGTTTGGTTAAAAAACTGGACGCGAATTCTTTACTGGCAAAATGTCCAAGGCGAAAGAAGGTGAGAGTTTAGATGATGGAGTGAATGTAACACGCCCTAAAACTGGCAAGTCTCTGCGGTTGGTAGCATTTCTTATGAGAATGTTTCGAGGGCAACAAGTACTACCAACAAATATACAAAAAGATAGTCTTCGTCACTCGCTGTCAGTCGACTCGTTAAAAGCCCGAAAATCGATGGTAAATATCAAAATAAAGTCCACAAGCAATGATAGGATGATAGACGTGCCGATAGCATGGCAATCTCACGAAGCGAAAGAAAACCACTACCCAGAATGTCAAGTCAAAAATGACGACCTTGTGATGAAATTTAAAGAAATACTGGAGCTACCGTTAGAGAATGTTCTAGATGGAGAACCTGTGAATTTTAGACGGCAGAGAAGAAATGCCATATGTGAACAATTAGAGCGAGAAAAGTCGTACGAAGGAAGATCGATGCGGAAATGGCGGAAGGACATAATTATTCGAGAAAATCTTAAACTGTACGGTATTTTTTAATTGCATGTAAATAGTACATAAAACAATCCTCAAAATCAGTTTAATCAATCAGTGTCCGATAAACAGAGGTTTGCTTAAGGTGGCTGACTACTTTGGTAAATGATAAACAGAAAATTGAAAATTGAAACTATTTTGGCCTGAAATTTAATGCTGATTTCAAAAATGCAAAGAAAAACGGTAAACAAGTTATCGTAAAAATTGAGCACGAAACAAACAGAACGATCTTTTACATTGTTCTGATAAACAGAATTGTCTTAAATTTCGAAATATAATGGGATATTACCTGCTGTTCTGGAAAATAACAAAAAGAATATAGAGTCCGTGCAACCAAAATTTGAGGGTTTTATTTGCCCTCTTGAAGTTCAAAACGTGTATGGTTCTTCGATAAAATCGTGAAGATTATTCAGCGGTTTTTGAGCGCTCGCACATCGTGGGCTCAAATCGTATGTTGAAAAGTAGGCAGCCACCTTAATCCACAAAATATCAATAAATAGACCTTCAATGGACCCCCCTTGYACTGAGTCCCGAGAGATATTGTTTCTGAGGGACAAAACGACGGTTAGTTTTGTATATAAAAAGAAATATTGGTTCTCAGTCATTGTTTTACGGCGCATGCGTCTGCAATCGAACATAACATTGTCATTATCACATATAGAGTTAAATATAATCTTCAGTGCCCACCAAAGATTTTTGCAGTGCCCCCCCCCCCCCAAGATTAGCCTCCGCCACCTCTGAGCCAAGGAAACCTACTTCAAAATAATGAGCAAGTTCGTCAGAACGCTCAATATGCCTTGTAGCACAAGCTGAATTCGAACAAGCTAATGCTGTAGCACAATTTGTAACTCGTCTTACTTTATTATAGATTTCTTTGCTTTTGTCGGCCATAGAGCCCTTTTATGCGAATTCAATTCAGTGATAAAAACGATAATTGGTTTCAATTGATGATAATTGATAGGAATTAACTAACTGATTATCAATTGATAAAAATTGATAGCCGAAACGGTGAGAATATCAAACTTATTCCATACATTTGTGAACGTTTACTCTTTTTAGCGCCTAAGCATACATGGACACATTTTAATGTACTGCGCTTGCAAATCAATCCCCTATGATTTGCAGAATTTCAAGACCCTAAGTGTTGTCCGGCGAAATCTTGATTCACGACCTACCGCACAGCAGACCAACGGGTGGTAAGAAGAAAAAAGTGCGTGTGCGAATGACAGCAGGTATAACAGGTATCGACAGACCTATTAACACATTCATTCCTCTTGTGCTCTCTCTTATGGGTTATTCCATTTCTTACCTATTACTGACAAGAATTCCTTTTAATGAACTTCTTCGATGTTCAACAATATGACTTCATTATATATTGTAAGTACTTTACGACTCAGTTCAGGACTAAGACTGCTTTTGGCTGTCTGAAACCTTTAACATGCTATTTCCTGYCAAAGAATTGCTTTTTTAGCGTTTTAAGTACTGTTTAATAATCGAGCAGGAGTGTTTTATCGGGTATTAAACACGAGGCGTAGCCGAGTGGTTTTAGACCCGATAAAACACGATCTGCGAGTTTATTAAAGGGCAACTTACCCCCCAAAATGACCCATTTTTAAGAGAAAGTACATCAAATGAGAAACACAAAAATTCAATTTTTAGAGGGGATAGAGCATCCGTGTTTCTAAAAAAATAATTTCAAAACATCGCATATATCGCTCTGGTGGCCGCCATCTTGCACTTTTATCGCGGGCTCAGAAAAACAGGTAATGACGTCACAAC